AAAGGAAAAGAAAAAGAAAAAAAAATCAAGAAACCCCCCCACCACATACAGCTAATGATCCACCGCTTAGTCCCCCCAAACCATCTTTCTCCCTTGGGATTTTCTCTGTGGATGTTCTGTATCAGATGTTTTACACTTGGCTGTGCCTCCCAGGTTACTAACTGGGTGCTGCGTAGTTTGCTCGGGTCCTCGGCAGTGGGTGCTGTGTGTCTCCACACATCTCTTTCTATCTGGTAAAAAAAGGAAAAAAAAAAAAAAAAGAAAAAGAAAAAAAATACCAGCCCAAACAGCTCTCATTTATTTCACGCTTTGGGACGTGGCTTGCCTCCGATGACAGTGTAATTTAAAGAAATATATGGAGGGTTGAAAAATCATTTGCTCAAATTTGTCCAGATGTTTTTTAGATGTGATTGGAATTTGATTGCCCTTTTCCGCAGGGTCAGAAGATATTAATGTCCCAGAACTTTAATTGCTCGCAGACCCTGCTTTGCTCTTTGAAGATGTAAAATGTTGGACTCATTACTGTTTGTTCTCCAAATTCAAAGTTTCCTCTCTTGCACTTTCTTAATGGATAATACACATAGAAGTAGACCTTTATCTTTCCCCATCCTCTGAAACCTTTAACCCACCGGGAATTTCAGAGGATGTTTTTTTTTTTTTTTTTTTTTAAATTCTGGCCTTTTTTTCTCCAGTCCCTGGGTAGGCATCTGTCTCAAAGAAACAGTTCCTTTGGGAAACCCACAAATCCCCCGAGTTTCTACGTTGCCCGGGCACCTGTTGACTTGAAGGCCCTTTGGACCAGAGCAATTCAAAAGAATGTGTGTCTGGGGGGAATTCATTAGAAAAATCAAATCTGATTTTTCAAAGTTGTGGGCAAAGCAAACAAAAGCCAGATGTCAACTCTGAAGTGTTAATTAGGATCCCACCCCTCAGGAAAAAAAAAAAAAAAAGGAAATGCTAGCTTTGCTCCTCATGCAATGAATAAGAGGCCATGGAATCCCTAAGTCCTGATCTTCTCTCGACAAGGTGACCCACCCTGAGAAGTCTCAGAGGAGGTTCTGTTTTGGCTCTTCCCTGCCTCGTGTCCCCGTGCCACCCGGTCGCTCTCAGCGCATGGCTGTGCTTTCCCACAGGAGCAACGTTGGTGGGAGCTTCTCTGAGCCAGGGTCAGGCCTCCAGGAAGACGGGTGTTTGGCAGACCCATAGCACATCTCCCTTTCAGCCTGGGTTTTTCTAGACCCACCAAGCAGGGTTGAGTTTTCAAAATGCTTCAGAATCATAGACTCGTAGAATCATTTAGGTTGGAAGAAAACCTTTAAAATCGAGTCCAACTGTAAGCCTACTGTAAACCTAGCACTGCCAAGTGCACCACTAAACCATGTCCTTAAGCACCACATCTACAAGTCTTTTAATAGCTCTAGGGATGGTGACTCAACCATTTCCCTGGGCAGCCTGTGTCAATGTTTTATAACCCTTTCAGTGAAGAAATTTTTCCCAATATCCGACCTAAACCTCCTCAGAAGCATCCTTGTGGCTATGGGAGGGTTTTCTATCTCCAGACCTGGTGTCCTGCAATTGCAGAAACCTCTCTCTTGAAGAACTTCTGGCTCACCATGGCTGGTCCCCAGGCACTGTTAGGGGAAAGAAAGGTGGCAAAGAGGTTTTATCCTGGGTCCTGGGATCAGCTTCGGCCTGAATCTGCCCCTTCCTTCAACCTTGTTTCTCTCAGACAAGTGTGGGATAAGCCTAACCAGCGCTTTTCTCTCTCTTTTCCTCCCTCTGCCTTTCTCTCTTCTGTGCAGGCAACTTTGTAAAGAATTTACAGATCTCTTGGCCCAGGACAGGACGCCCATTGGAAACAGCCGGCCCACCCCTATTTTGGAACCGGGCATTCAGAGCTGCTTGACTCACTTCAGCCTCATCACTCACGGCTTTGGGGCCCCCGCTATCTGCGCTGCCCTCACGGCCCTTCAAAACTACCTGACTGAAGCTCTCAAAGGCATGGACAAGATGTTCTTGAACAACAACACTGCTAACAGGCACACATCTGGCGAAGGACCAGGTAGTAAAACTGGAGACAAGGAAGAGAAACACAGAAAATGAGAGAGAGAGAGAGAGAGAGGGGGAAAAATAAAAGAAAGGAAAAGAAAAATGTTAAATAAATAAAAGGAGAAAAGAAAGAGATAATCCTTTAAAACAAAAACGTCTTAATTTTAGCTTTAAAAATATTGGATTGGGCTTTGGAAGAATTCTATTAGGTAGGACAAAATAATAATAATAAAATAATAATAAGAATAAAAGAAAGACAATAATTTAAGATCAGAGGAGCACAATGGCGCAAGACCAGTGGTTCAGAGTCTCTTGCCAGGAACATGTGAAGACAACCACCAGGATTTTTTTCCCACTTCTGTTCTTTCACATTTTTAAAATAATGATTTGGGGGGGGGAGGGGAATATAATAATAATTAATAATAATAATAAAAGAAAGAAATGAATAACTTATTGGAAGAAATCGGAGAAACATTTTTGGTGTCAGTGCTTTGATTTCTTGAGCTGCACGGTCTATTATTTTTATTTTATTCTTTTTTTTTTTTTTTTTTTTTTTTTTT